AACCTAGCCAGCTCTTATCCTAACATTTTGCTTTTGAAATACCTATAAATACCCAGTTCCCCAAAATGCTCTTTGAATAGGTTTAGCATCTTACAGTCACTCACAATGAATTAATAAATCACTCACAAGTCTTCAGCCTCTATTTGCATGAAAGTCATGCTTTTAAGCTTCTTAAAATTCTATTTCTTTCTATGTCCCAAATCTAGTACTTCTTCCTCCAAAACAGCACTTTTATGGAACGACATGTACACACGCAGTCAGGTCTGCCTCATCTTGCCTGCCAAACAGAGGTTACGCAACATGAGTGACGCAGACAGCCGGATATGTGCTAAGAGAATCGGAAAGTGAAGGCACCTCAACTCTCCCTAATTGACGTGGCATTTCCACCACTGTAGTTCTCAGGATGATACAGTTTCATCTTATTGAATTCAAAAGGCTGCTCTTGACAGTTGGGTGACCAGCCTACCACAGAGCAAAGAAGAGGCTTTGAACCAGGTTCCTAGGGCAACTGATGGACTGGACCACAGTCCCCAGCTAGCTTACAGGGGATGACCAACACTTTATCTGGGCTTGCAAACGACAGTTCTGTGAGATGACAGGAAGGCTGAGGAGATTAGGCTCAGGTCCTGCCTGGGAAATGTTCTCTCAGGTGAAGTGAAGGTCCAAGGAGCAAACCCTTGACTTAGGTTTCACTCCCAACTCACTCCAATGCATAAAACTCACCACTCCAGTGACACAAAGAAAACACAAGGAGGCAAAGAGCTGAGTGAAGCTGGAGAAGTCCTTCATTTCAAACTTTCCAGGCCACTGAGAATTTTTCACACTTTATTGCAAGAACTATCTGAGCCATTATTAGGTCATTTGACCCACTGTCATTTGAAACCTCTCTAAGCACACACATACAAAAAAAAAAAAAAAAAAAAAAAAAAAAAAAACAAGAACTAATAGCTCCCAGAATAGAAGGTGAGAGGGAGTTTCAGGCTGACCATGGACTGCCAGGCAGATTTGCTGGCTGCAGGCGCTTCCCAGCAGTTCATGTCCCTGCCAGAGGCCTGAAGCACAGCTCTGCACCTCCCGAAGGACCTTCTTCTGCCTGACTGGCCCCTGGAGCTCCTTTTCCATACTGTGTATGCAGCATTTACTATGTATGCCTGGAACTTAGCTGCCTCCTGGGGGGCTAAGGGGAGAGGGAAATGGAGTCTGGAGTCCATCCTCAAGGGTTTTCCTGTCCACTGGAGATATAAGATATAAATCTAAATTCCTTTCATTTGCAATAGAAAATAACTAACAATTCACAAATACTAAAAATTTCTCTGTGCATGTTACTGGACACTGGGCATGCAGTAGGCAGCTAGATAGACTGGTCCCAGTAAGCATGTTGTTGAAAAGGGAGGAGTAACAATTGTTTAGCACCTACTATGGACCAGGAGTGTGCCAGGCACTTTCTCTCATTTAATTTGCTCCTTCTGCATACTGTCTTTGGTAGGTGATGTTATCTCTTTTTTTTTTTTTTTAATTAAGATTTTTATTTATTTATGCATACAGAGCTGGGGTATAGGCCAGAGGCTAGGGGCGGTGAGAGGCTTCACCAGACACAGAGTGGGGAGCAGAACAGGCAGATCGACGAAGTACACTGCTGAGGGGAGCAGCGGGCGGGTCAGGAGAGGTCTGCCACACCATGTGGTCACCTCCGGGGCAGGCGGGAATCGAACTCATGCGGAAGTGGCTTTAGCTTCTCAGTGCAGTGCTTTAACCCGCTGCGCCACCAGGGAGGGCCCGATGTTATCTCTTTTTTAACAAATGAGAAAAGAAGGGCTTGGTGTTAGAGAACTTTCCCAAAATCATGTCAATGGTGAAGAACAAAGAAAGGATTTAAACACAGAATCATCTGACTTCAAGGATCCTACCTTTACCTGCCTACATTTATTACTAGCATTCGAAGGCATAAATTCCTTCTGTGCTGTTACAATTTGATGAGGAGCCTCAGAGGACACAGATTGACAAGCAGTAAGGCATCCATTGCTAGTCCCCAGAGAAGGCCAACAAAGGCATTTGTTCACCTCCCAATATGTGATTAACACTTGACCTATCTCTGGCTGTCCCTTGATGTTCTCTGGGATCAATTGTGTGTGAGCCGTTTTCTTCCTTCTGATAAAATGGGAGAATGAATGGTAGTAAGAGGGATTAAAAGTGAGTTTCCAAGAGAGGGACACACCCCTGAACCCTTCCTTGAGATCCCCTATGCTGAGTACACAGCCAGCACAACCAAGGTGAGAGTCCACATGGCTTCCACCCCAAAAATGTCATCCCCTCCCCTCCTAACATTTTGCCTTCAACTGAACACATCATTTAAATTTCTTCTCTTTTACGGTATTTGGGGAAAAGGAGACTTCAGGACTTTCATAATTTAACAGACCTTTCAGAATAAAATCTAAAGATCATGGTAGCTAAGTTCTGCATGCCCACCTCTGCAGCACAGTCTCCCCAGCACACACTGGAGACCTGGAGACCTACAGACCTACCACTCGTCCCTTCCCAGTGCGCTCTGGGTAGCCCTGGGCCAGCCTAGGGAGGCAGCCCAGATATCTCCTCCAGAAATCTCTGATCTTGCCCTTGTGGTGCCCCTGTGGCATATTCTCACACCCCACCAGCACACTCATACACACGCACACTCACGAACCTATGAATATGCACGCATGTGCAGGAATGCGCCTACCACCTGTTCCAACACCCTCCTGGTTGCCCCTGCTATAGGGCTTCTCCCTGCCCAGGCTTTCCCAATAAACCCTTGTCTCCACTCTCCAAAGCAGGAGAAACATTATTTGTTTTGTTTTGTTTTGAAGATTTTATTTATTTATGCATACAGAACTGGGGTACAGGCCAGACGGGGAGGGGCAGTGAGAGGATTCACCAGAGACGGAGTGGGGAGCAGATCAGGCAGATCAACAAAGTACACTGCTGAGGGGGGCAGCGGGCGGGTCAGGAGAGGTCTGCCGTGCCATGTGGGTCAGCTCCGGGGCAGCCGGGAATCAAACTCACACTGAAGCGACCACCGCTTGGCTTAGCCATGCACTGCAGCATTCCAACCCGCTGCGCCACCAGGGAGGGTCCCGGGTCTGGTTTTCCTGCTCCCAGGAAACACCCATCGAATACTCAAGGAAGGGAGGATAGAGGTGATGCAGGCAACCTCACCCCTTCCTGAACTGGCTCTTGCCTCCCGCCTAGTAAAATTCCCTGAACTCAAAGCTGCCACAGGAGAAAAGGGTGAGGACTGAGGGAAAGGAGGCTGTTTTCTGGAGAAAGCCTGAGCAAGGCTCCAGGGCTCCCGTGGAGAAGTCAGCACCATTGCTTCGACATATTTAAAGTGTCCAGTGTGTCTATGAAGATGACGTGGCTTCTAGTGCTGCCTCCACAGATGACCCGGAGCCTGGAGCTGGGGGAGGGGGCAGGGGTCTCAGGAACAGCTGTCCCTGGCTGCTTGCACTGGGCTCACAGAGGCAGGAAATTCCATGCTGTAATGGCTGGACTTCTTCCCTTCATTCCTGATGTGTGACTAGGCAGTGAACTGGTCTTTAAAGAAACCATTCAGACAGATTTCAGGAAATGTGACGGGGCCCAAAACATACAGGAAGAGGAAAATGTAACAGGACAAAGCTCTTGGCTGTGCAGTCTCACTAAATGCCCATCTTCTGTCAGCACCAGCACCAGGTGTAGCTGGCGCTGGGGTCTCTACTTAAAAGTGTGCCTTGAGTAGCTACCACCATGTTATCAAAGTGAACACATTAATCTGAGTAGATGAGAATTTTTTTCCCTTTATCTAGGGAATCAGTACTTTGAAACAAGTCCTTGATGAAGAATGAGCCATTAAGAAATAGTTTGTATGCATGTAGCAAGCAAAATCAGGAAGGAACGGCAACTTGAGCAGTCGCCCTGAGGAGCTGGCTGGCATAGGTGTGAAGCAGGGCTCTCCGAGGTTGTTCTTCAATGTAACTTTAGTCTCCTGCACAGCCCATGGTTGTCAGAAGCAAAATTCATCTTTACATTATTGGCACATTTTTTTAATCAACTGAAAAAAAAATCACATTTTCCCTCACATTTTGCTTCTCTTTTCCCAAAAAGACTTTCAGGGAGGGGATCTTACATTTGCTCTTTCCAGTCACCAAGAGAATTGTGTTACTCTTACATTCCATCTATTCAATCTCAGTTTAGTTTCAAGTTGAGACTTTATTTCATTTCCAGGCATGCACAGAGTGGTTGGGATCCCTTTATTACTTCTCACTTTCCGACACAATTGTTCAGCAAAGTGGTAAGCCTGCTGGGCAAATCAAACTCTCTACTTTTCACTCTCTAAGCACCCTTTAGGTATGTAAAATTAAACCTGAACAACCTCTCCTACTGCAGCTAAGATTCACAATTGTAATGAATCTGTTATGCTAAAGTACAAGAACATTCTATTTAAAAAAAAAAAAAACTTTAAAGTAACAGTAAGCCTCTCTTTTTCATTATTAACTTTGCCTCACAGACCATAAAACATGTCGGTGGGTTAATATTCTTTGTTTTCAGGGTTTTATTAACATTTTGAAAACAGACAAAAACAGAGATTTCTAACAGCAGTACTACTTAACAATTCTGTGTCCTGAAAAGAAGCTCAAACCAAACCAAAGAAGAAAATAACCTACCCTAGCAAGGGGCTAGCATCCTGAGGAGCATGGTATCCCCACCTCATAAAGATCAATGAGCAGTGTAGGGCCCGAGTGGTCCCTATAAGAAATTGCATCTTGGCTAAGAAATGTGCCCTTGGCTCAGCCAAAGCAGCTCAAGTCACTTTCATTTGGAACTTCATTTAGACTTTCATTTGGAAGCCATGCTGTCATCTAGGTTTAGAATCTGCATGGGTGAGGCACATGAATATTCTTGCTGCCCAGGGAGATGTTGGCATGGAGATATGGGGAACCTGCTGGTTGAAGTTTGCATTAACGTACTCTTCTCTTCTCCTCTAGTTACTGTGACAGTGGGAGGCAAGCAACACTTGCTCGGGCTGTACGACACAGCAGGACAGGTACATCTCTATTATCTTGATTCATTAAGGGCTTGGACGGAGGGAGAAGGACCCACGTGGATATAGGCATTTGGGGAATTACAGTACCAATGTTACCTCTTCTGGTTACTTGGGACAAATTTATTGTCTACCTGAATGATAACTAAAAGCACATCTTTAAGATCTCCAAAATACATATAATGGCCAGAAATGACTCATTGAATGATTCAAGGTGTGAAAAGGCAAATAATGACTCATTCATTCATCGATGACTATGAATTAACAAAATAGCATATTTGGCTGGGCATTTTCTTCCCACTCTTACCAATTCTAGAATTAGGATTACTAAGTGAATTTCATAAAACTTGAGTTTCACCCATTATTTGTTTAATTATATTCCTTACCCATCTTTATTAGAATTGTGGAATATGCCGTGTGAAGGTTCAGAAAGAGCTAGCCGGTAGGGATTAAGTGGATAAGTTAGACTAACTGTCAGAAGTAAGAAGACCCAAGATCCTGGATGCCTTCCAAAAGTGAGGGTCAACTCCAGAATAACTGGGGGTTAACTCTAAATTCACTAAGATTCTTGAAATATCCTCACTCAATTAGAAATGTTTCTTCAAGTTGGAGAACCTGTTCAACCCATAATACAAGACAATGGATAGAACTCTCAATACTTAATCACTGAGCATGTATACCCCAGGAGTCAAAATGCCAGCTTATTTTTCTTTCCTCACAGCTCACATTTTACTGTGAAAAGGTTCTAATGTCACAAGTTCATGGAATGGAAAGGAAGTGGTTAAGTAATTGATGGCAGTGACTCAATTTCTTGGATAGAACTTTTATTACCATATGTCTTAAGTGATTTATTTAGGTCAAAATCAGCAGGTTGTTCAGTCTGTCCAAACTCATACATCATAAGTCCTTTAGAGTAAGCGTTTGCCTGTGCTCTTTCCCACTGTGCATTTCCTGGTAATTGTTATTTGTAGTTAGGCAGTTGACTAGGACTTTTTCACAATTATCTGGAGATATGTCTTTTTGCTTAACTTGAAAGCTCTATACTGGAAAAAAAATAATAACTAGAATTCTCTTTGGGATTTCAGTGTGCATTTGCAAGGATCACTGTATAAATCTGTGGGACATCAAAGAGTAGGACTGGGCAGGCCTGGGCACTGGAGGCCCTGGAAAATCTAACCTCAGACATAACGCTATTAAGAGCGGCCAGTTTTGCCTCCTAGGCAGATGGCTGTTTCGGTCAGCTACTCTCAGAAACTTGCTACTCTCAGGAACTTGGGGGCGAGGGGGACAGTGACCTGTACCAAAATGCATGGCTAGAAAAGGACCCCCCCCCAGATACCCAGATAGGATAAACCATTTTGGCTCCTCTAACTTAAGGTACAGGCGTTGACCAGAAGGAGGGAGGCGCACAGGGGACTGTGGTGATGGCACACAGGTGAACTGGGAAAGGGAATTCTATGGAGTCTACACCTGAGGGGGGTGGGTGGGTAAACATTGTTCTTAAATGAACAATGATGTAAATATGTATATAAAAATAAATTTTAAGAATCAACAGGGAAAATCATCTTAAAAGGTAGAAGGGTCTTGATGCAGTTCATACATAGCTGCCCCACCCACCAGAAGCCATTCCAGCAAAGGGGGGTGCTGCTCTTTGGGCTGGAGTTCTTGCTGTCATTCAGAGTCATTGGGATGCCCCCATTCATCAGGAATTTACAACCTGAGAGAAGACTGACACCCTTCCCCCACAAAGTCAGTTTTAGAATATAATCCAGTTTGTAAGATGTAGTACAGCAAGGATTAGTCCTGGCTCTGAAACTTCTGTCTCCCTTCCCTTCTAAAGAGCTGTCTGCACCCCTCATGTCCAATCAGGTCTCCCTTCTTCTGTGGGAATCATAATGGACAGCTTCTGTCCATTAATTGCCCCCAGAACAACCTCCCCAAGCCTCTATTTAATTTTAAATCCAATAAAACTATTTAAAAGCTCTTATGGAGTTTAATTATTCTTTCCCACTACTCTGGCCATTAAAGTAAAAATTTTTTTTACAATCTTATTTATTTATGCATACAGGCCACAGGTGCAGGGGGAGTGAGAGGACTCGCCAGAGACAGTGGGGAGCAGAACAGATGGTCAGGCATAAGGCAAGACAGGAGAGGTCTGCTGAGCCATGGGGTCACCTCCGGACCACGGATCGAACCCGAGGCGAAGCAGCTGCGGCTAGCTTGCAGTGCTACGCTTTAGCCGCTTGTGCCTCCAGGGAGGTCCCACAGTAAAATTTTTTTTTTTAAAGATTTATTTATTTATTTGTGCATACAGAACTGGGGTACAGGCCAGAGGCTCAGGGGCGGTGAGAGGCTTCACCAGAGACAGAGTGGGGAGCAGAACAGGCAGATTGACGAAGTACACTGCTGAGGGGAGCAGCGGGCGGGTCAGGAGAGGCCTGGCTCGCCATGTGGTCTCCTCCGGGGCAGGCGGGAATCGAACTCATGCGGAAGTGGCTTCAGATTCTCAGTGCTGCGCTTTAACCCGCTGCGCCACCAGGGAGGGCCCCCACAGTAAAATTTTTAAGTCTACTAGTATAGGAGTTGAAACTCCATGGTAGTGTCAAAATATCCTTGAACCCCAAGTGAAGAAAGTAAGATGACCCAAACCTCTGACACCAGAAAGTGAGCAGCAATAATATAGAGCTACAAATGGGCTATGGATAGTCCTTTGACTTAATTTTCACTTTAATGTCTTCCTCCAGCTACTCTGAAAGCTCAGGGCTGGACGAGGCTCACAAGGAAACATAAAGCATAAGGAGCACAGTCAGAACACATCTCATATAAGGTTCCTTCTAGGCCCAGAATCCTAAGATGGGGACCTTGAAAAGATGGCTTCAAGAAAGCCTAAGAGAACCAGAGTAATTAAGCAAAGGATTTGAGACTAGACCGAGTAGAAGCCTTCTGGCAGCAAAGGATTGTTACATACAACATTTGGCTGCAAACACAAAAGGAGGAGGACATGAGTTCACGTTTGACAACGGCATCCTCACACTTGCAGACCTTGTTACCCCCAAGCTGCTGGCTCCATCCCCAGAGTGTCTGATTCTGTGAGTTAAGGATGGGATCCAAGAACAGGCATTTCTGCCAGGTTCCTGGTGCTGCTGCTGCTGCTGCTGCTGCTGCTGCTGTAGCCTCACCACCATTCTTTGAGAACCACAGCTCTAGAAATTGCCCTGGAAATGTGACCCGCTGACCAGCAGCATCACCATGCCCAGGGAGCTTTCTAGAAATGCAGAATCTCAGGCCCTCCCTGGTGGCGCAGCAGGTTGGAACACTGCACTGCAAAGTAAAGCTGAGCTGTGGTGGCTTCAGTGCGAGTTCGATCCCCATTCGGGAGGTGACCCACATGGTGCAGCAGACCTCTCCTGACCTGCCCACTGCTCCCCTCAGCAACACTGTTTATGATGAATCCTCTCGCCATCCCTGTACCTCTGGCCTGCACCCCATTTCTGATGCATAAATAATCCTTAATTTAAAAAAACAGAAATGCAGAATCTCAGGCCTATCCCCAGACTGCTAACTCTGGACTTGCATTTTAAAGGGACAGGTGAGCACTTCATAATTTGAGAATCGCGTTGGTGGTTGAAGGAGGGGAATCCCCCTGACCCCAGAGGCTTCCAGACTTTTACTGCTCGACCAACAAGTCTTAGAAAGGAATTAAATTCATCAACATTGTCCCCAAATTTCCATTTCTAGCCTCAGGTAGACTGAGGTCAGGTAGACTGCTCTCCTAAGCAATATTCTGGCAGATGTTGTTGAAGCTATACAGCAAAGAACATCTATAATTCAAAAATACCCATTTGGCCAGAGTTCCTAATAAGAAAGAGAGGTGATTTCAGTACCAATTCATTCCAGAACCACAAAAGAATTAAGTCTGTGAACCCAGCTTTAGAGTCCCACCTTGCTGTGAATAATCCAGTTTTCATACATAACTAAGAAGCCATGCCCCTTGACTTTATCTCGAGTAGGGCCTGAGTCAGAGTTGAAACAACCTCGAGATACCTATGTGCTGTAAAAGGTAAAGACTTGGGAATTCATTACTTCTGCCCTCCACTCAGCCCTGGACAGAACCTCTAGACCGGCTCCCCGGCAGCCCCTGAGGCCTCCCCCACTCTGCAGCCCCTCCTGCCCCCCAGAAGACATGCTCCTGTCCCTTTTCAGCCAGCCAAGCCCTCGCAAAAGACAAGGTCTGATGGAGTCACCTGCACATAGGGCAGTGAGGCGAAGCTCTAGCTCCCTCCCCAACCCCAGACACCCACTAACACATGGACTTGGAATGGGGCCTCTGGAACCTTCAGAACACAGCTCCTTCATGTGTAGCAGAATCCCCAGCATCAGGTTAGGCAGCAAAGTGAGGGCTTTTTCAGCAGGTGCCCACACATGAGCCCTCTACCCATACTAGGGAGGCAATGAGGCCAGGCCTGAGGGCCAGATCTGCTAATTGGTGCCAGCTCGTGCTGTATACAGATGCCCCTAGTTGTGTGACTGAAAGTCTCCCTGAAAGGACTCGCTAGAGCTCGGTTCTTTGGCTCAGCTACAAAGAGTCGCAGAGCTGACTTTTCCATGATGTACTTGCAGGACAGTTTGTTTAGAGTGTGTCATGAGAGACCCAGCAGAGAGTGGGGTGGTGGGGTGGGGCCCCTGCAGCCTGGCCAGCTGGGGAATGCTAACTGGGGAGGTTTTCTTGGCTAGAGCCAAGAGTCCCCCCAGCCCACTGCCACCACCAAGGTCGGAGTCAGCTGAGGCAGTCAGACACCTCATCTCCTCTCTCAGGGGCACTCACTTGCCCGAGTAATGTGGGCAAAGCCTGCTCAGGTCATGGCCTCTTAGCTTAAAGGCAGTATTTGCGAAAGCAACCTCAGCAGCACTGGCAGGAACAAAAGGAATCTCTGGTGTCAGGAGCCTGGTTTCTCAGCAGGGCAAAGCCCCAGGGTTTTCGGCACACAGCTCCAGAGCTGTCTGCATGTGGGCCAGTGCAGAATGGTGTCTGTCACAGGAAACCACAGCTCACAGCAGCTCAGCTGTCACCAGCTGGGAGCGTGGGAGCAGGAAGACCGTCAGCTGCACCCCTCTCTCAGCCAGGGCTGCACGCAACACATCTTCACCACGTCCTGATAGTTGAGGCACCTCTCCCCCTGAAAAGCTGAAGAGCTATACAAACAGGCATGTACAGCTGGGGTTCATTAGTGGCAACCCAAGATCCACTGGGAAGGACACGCACCTTCCCCTTGGCTGTTGGCTGACTCTGGGGGGGGGGGGCCATCTGGAGCACAGAATCTGGCATCAGCCCTCTGTGGAAACTTTGCTTAAAACCTCCAAGTAAATGTTTTCCTCAATGAGCTACTCAACTTTTTTTGCTCACATGTATCTTAATGTGGTTTTAGAAATGTGCACTTTGGAGGACTAGAAAAAACTGCTCACATGACTAGTTTTTGGTCAGAGTAACTGTAGAGCACGATCTTCTCCCCAAATTATGAAAAATTGAGTTGTGGGACATTGACTCAGAGGTGCAATCAGAGTTTGCAAACATTTGGGTCTCATTACAGCTCAGTTGAGGACAAGTTAATTTCAGGCTCAGCCCTGCTCTCCAGTGAGGGCAGGACCTGCAGCTGTTGTTGACATGGGACGGAGGGTGAACTCTTCACCACGGAAGAACTTACTATGTTCATGGCACTGAACTAAGTGGCCCGCAAATACTAGCACATGAGACCAGCACATGTTATAAAACATCTAAGAGACCAGCACTGTCATCAGACTCATTTTACAGATAAAGAAGCTGAGGCAGACAGAACCCATCCAAAGACACCCCTGGCAGGCAGGAATGGGACTAACTCAGAATGTCCCTCCAGAACCCCTGGGCTCCTAGGCACAGTTATGCCCCCGCCCACGTTTTTGAAACCAAGCCTGGCAGGTAGGAGAATCCATCTGAGAGAAAATGAAAGTGACTGGTACTGAAAATCTGGGGAAAGCATCACTGAGCCTTGTAGGACATGGGGGCAGAATTCTATTTTCAACTGAATGTGGGTCTAAGGGTGGGGTGGGCTAGAGACACACGGGCTCTGCTCCCCTTCCCGCCACAACATGGTCCCTGGACCAGCAGCTTCTGGAACTTGCCAGAGACACACTTCTTGGGCTTCAGTCCAACTTTCTGCTGCAAAAGACTGAACTTTACTGAGACCCCCGGTGCTCAACCGTTGTGTCTGACTCACGCCCATGATGACTCCGAGCACATTCCGAACCCAGGTGTTCGGCCCGTCTGAGGCAAGGCCGCCCCTGAACTTTTCTTTTTGAATCATCATCCATAATCTTCTTAGCCCCTGACTTGCCTACAAACCAAGCACTCTGCTGTCTTCTCAGTGGGCTCGGTGGAAAGCTCCCCAAAGCCCACCTCCTGCAATTCCCTCCTTCACCCCCACGGCTTCCACCTTAGCTCCCAAGCCCACCTCCAGCTTCTTTAAGATTAAAACGCTGTCTTGAGAGGCACACAAGCACCTGTCTTCCACTCTCTGTTTTAATATCAGAAGGGGTCTTGGGTACCATCTAGCTGTTCAGCCACTGCTCCCGGCTCCTTTACACCATCTCAGCCTGTGATCACCAATCTAGGTTCCACAGCCGCCCCAGTACAAACATCACAGGAGTTACCAGCTGATCAAAATTCAAACCCCAACTTCCCACGGTCCGATTTTGAAGGGATACTTCCCTTTATTAACCCCCGGCCGCTCCTATGCTCCCTGCCTGCCCCAGCAGTGGGGTTGAAGGAAGCCTGGCCAGCCCAGGCTTAAAGATATGTTTGGTCTATAGACCCCATTAAACCACTCTAAATGGTTTCTTAAACTATGAAATTGGCTGAGGAGAAAGAGAAGCTCAGCACGTTGAGGTTCTGACAGAGCTGCAGCAGCACCTGGAAGGCTTGTTAAGATGCAGGTGGTCTCATCCCGTCCCCCAGAGCCTGGGGGGAGGCTGAACAGGCTTGAGAACACACACCCCATCCTCACCCCCACGTGGTGCCCCACTTTGGGACCCACTACATGAGCTCATCTCCAAAGCTTCTTCCAGCCTCCAGACTATTTCTCCAGTGCAGTCAGATAAATATTCTATCCCTACATTACTCGATTACCAGATTAGCCAACAAAGAGCAAGAGACACTTCGCCTGTCTCACTTCAGATGAATCATTTTCCTTATTCTCATTCTCCTCATTCCTTCCCCCCACTGGATTACCAGTTTCTTTCCACTCTCTAGAGTTTATCTGTAGCAGCTTTAAACAGGTAGGGGCTAAGTAGGCAAGGAATCCATTTTTCTAATGTGGAATTACACCGCATTTACCACAGAAGAGAGATCCAGGACACAGAGCAGTATACAGCCCCACAGAGGACACAGTCGGAAGTCATTCAGCTGGGGAAACCATGGCAGGGTGGGCTCTCACCAGCCCACCTATGGTTCGTCCAGCAACCCATGGTCTTCCTAACCTTTCCATAATGTAAGCCACTCCTTTGATAACTTCTGAGTAAGGACTCAAATAAACATGACCTTCCTAATTGTTTGCACCTACCTCACCTAATAGTGACATTTCTCCACATCATGTTGGAGCTTGTTTCGCCTCTGAGGTTTTAAATATGTAGTGTCTGCTGCCATCTGGTGGTAATTTCAAGCATCTGCCGGGCATGAAATATATCCCACCGACACTTCTGGGGTATATTATCTATATATATTCATATTCAAGGATAAGTGAATTTTGAAGGAAATGATTAGTCTGTTACTCAAATTTCCAATCTGAGTCAAACATTATGGCCACAATGAAGAATTCGAGCTGAACTCAGATAAATATCTGGTCCTATTATTTAATTGCTCTGTGATTGATTTATTGCTGAATTTCTCCAAACCCTACCATTGTCTTCAATGAAATGTGGATGTTGATGGTACCATCTTTCCAGTGTCACTCTAAGAACTCGTCAAGATCATACATGTAAGTGCAGGAAATAATGTTTGGCCTTTGGGCATAAGCCCTGTTATAATTCTCGGTTGACAGCTGAAATTGGTGAAGATGATGATGGTATAATTCCAGCGTTCTAGTTAGCTTATTCTAAATTAAACTTTCATGCACTTTTTTTTAGTTTAATCATAATTTTTTTCACTTTTAGACTGTTCTTACTTTATTTTGCAAAAACATTCCATCATCACTACTCCAATGTGAAGTACAAATCTCATGTGATGGTAGCTTTCATTTTGGATCAGTGACATAATAAATAATTGTGTACTAGATTTATTTTTGAATTGTTTAAGGAGAACATTTCTGTCCCCACCAGTGGCCCAGTAGTTTAAATTCATATTCAGCCGAATACAGTTCTAATGTGATGGAAGCTTGCAATAATCCATACTGAACCATTCACATGAGGTGGGTGAGCTTTATGGTATGTACATTATCCATTAAACTGTTCAAAATCACTCTAAAGTTTTGTTTGAAGTTCATCTTAAAAGGAAACAATTCAGGCCCTCCCTGGTGGCGCAGCGGGTTAAAGCACAGCACTGAGAATCTAAAGCCGCTTCCGCATGAGTTCCATTCCCGCCTGCCCCCGAGGTGACCACATGGCGCGGCAGACCTCTCCTGACCCGCCCGCTGCTCCCCTCAGCAGTGTACTTCGTCGACCTGCCTGTTCTGCTCCCCACTCTGTCTCTGGTGAAGCCTCTCACCACCCCTGAGCCTCTGACCTGCACCCCACTTCTGTATGCACAAATAAATAAATCTTAAAAAAAAAAATTCAGAAAAGGAAACAATTCATTGAGCCTCACTGATGGCACAGGCGTTAAAGTCTCAGCAATATCAGGCTATCAGCTGCCACCATGGCCTGAGTTCCACCTCCCCACCCCCCAGGGAGCTGACCCTCTTGAAGCAGCAGACCTCTCCTGTCTCTCACATTGCCCCCCTCCTCGGCAGTGTATTTCAGTAGATCTACCTGCTCTCCTACCCACTCTGTCTCTCTTAAATCCTCTGACACACCCCTCTGTTTCTTCTATGCATAAAGTTTTAAAATCTTTTTTTAAAAAAGGGAAATATTCATAATCTCTGGACACAAGGTGAAGATGTTTTGCTGATGTCGGCTCCTCTATGCCTAGTGACAGAGAAACACCATTGCGGTGGGCACAGGCAAGGGACTGGGTGAAAGGGGCACTTTGGTACAACCTTCCCCAGGTCACCCCTGGAACCATAGGGGCCCACCTTTCTCAAGCTGTGCAAGCTCTTTGCTTTTCCCACAGGAGGACTACAACCAGCTGAGGCCTCTCTCCTACCCCAACACCGATGTGTTTTTGATCTGCTTCTCTGTGGTAAATCCAGCCTCCTACCACAATGTCCAGGAAGAGTGGGTCCCGGAGCTGAGGGACTGCATGCCGCACGTGCCTTACGTCCTCATAGGGACCCAGGTTAAGAGAGAGCGGGAGACAGGGGAGAGGGAGGGGGGGGAGGAGGAGGAAGGGGGGAGGCGGAGGGGGGAAGGCAGCAGAAAAGGAGACTTTGTCAGTATCTCCTGAACATCCTAGTCTGTCAAAACTGTACAATGGGGTCTCCCGTACAGCCATCTGGGAACAGCAGTTCTTAAGATATACGTGATTATTCAGCCTAGAGTTGCAAAGACTGTGGAGGTATTTAATATTAAGTAGGAAGTTTTGCTATGACCTTTAAAAATTAATCTTTCATTTTTATTGTTAAATAACAATAATTTTGGAACTAGCACCCTTCTCTAGCCCTGAATCAAAGGAATGAGATAAAATGATGTCAATTGCACATGACCTAATGTGGTTTATTTCTAAAATCTATGATTGCCTGAAAGTCACAAATAGGTGTGAATGTCAAAATGACCCCAGTAATCAAATCGGCACATTTGACAGAAACCCCTTAATAAAACTCCCCAAGAAGGAAGATTGAAATTCAGTGTTCCCTATCCCCTTTCAGCTCCTTGGTCTTCTAGATCTTAGGAAGTTAAAACAGAAATATGCCACTGTAAATGTATTTAACGCATGTTTGAAAACAGAATAACTTTGAATTTCTTACAGTAGGCCAATTTGCACAAATATATTAAAGATTTTTTCAACTTTTTATAGTTTTAAATGAGATTTTGTTCTTTGCTATATCAAACCCAAATTACAGTCCCAAATAATAGCAAAAGACTTTACTGTGAATCTGTTCCATAAACCACAACTTCTATTTTTCATTTTGCTTGACAAAGAGAAAAACTGTTAAAAAGGAAAAATAATTTCCTAGTGAAGATATGAAGAGATAATTAACACATCCATAAATCAGAATACAGTCAATGGCTCTGCTCTATAAGATACTCGCTTAAATGAATTCTTTTGCCTTAACTCCAGATCACAATGTTTGACCATCCATATTGCTGGAGCCCAGATCCCTACAGCTGAAATATGTGAGGGATATGCAGCATTGCTGTGTAGTTTGCACCTATTTTATAGCACATGGGCATTAAAGTGAACAATTAATGCCCAAAAAAAATCCATACAATTAGTAAAGTTGAGCAGTGTGCTTATATACTGGGCCTTCCAATATGAATATATTGACTTTTTTTTAATACCAGCATTTATGTGCCCAAATTCACACCCTCCCAAGTGTGTGACTCCATATCCACAGTGAGATCATGAAACAGCTAAAATATTTCATTAAATTATCCAGCTTAATCACAACATAGATGTTATTTGCAAAGTAGTTCTCCCTTGGGAGAAATTAATGCTCATTCCTTGAGCAAACCCTTCGGAACTTGCTCCCCTGGACTTCATACTCAAAGCCTGCAGCTCTTTGTTACAATATCCTCACAGGAGGCAGATGGTCATGCCCTTGAAGATTTAGTTTGGGAAAGTCCCCAAGAGTGTATTCAGAATCAGCAAATATACTGTTAAGTCATGAATAATTTAACTTGGTCAAATAAAGCATCTCTGTAAGGTAACATAACCAATTGATATTTTTGTCTTCCTATAAGTGAGGTGTAGGAATAAATAGGAAATTTTAAAAACATCTGATTCAGTCAGTGATTAGAGTAAGTAATTACCTCCAGCATCATTGCCTTGGATGAGAAAGTACAAGGAAAGCTGGATGGATACATTTACAAGGAAATGTATCTTGCTCACTTTCTAGGTCCACTGTGGGCAAGTATATGTGCCTCCTTGAAAGAAAAAAAACTATTATATCCGTTTAAAATATCTGATAAGATCTAAAAAATATAAGTGAATATATATAACACGTGTCTTTTTTGCCAGATCGATCTCCGTGATGACCCCAAGACCTTGGCCCGTTTGCTCTACATGAAGGAGAAACCTCTCACTTACGAACATGGTGTGAAACTTGCCAAGACGGTACAGTCTGGTTTGAATCTGGTTTAAGTGTGCTGAGAGGAGAGGCCGGTGTATGTTTGGAAGGGGCAAGCTACACAGGCTTTTGCGTCAATGTGCAACATATGCACAATCCTTTGCTTCCGCTCTCCCCTCTGCAAGTCAGGCTGGAAGGGATCATTTGTTAGCATTCTCATCACCCAGTATTGTCTGTTTTTCATTAGAAAAGAAACATGGTGTATTTAAACAGCTGAAACACTTAGCATCTGATTTCACAACCTCTAGAATAAATCCACTTGCCATACTTAATGTGAATGAAGGGAGTCATTAGATACATATTTGTAAACCTCACTGCTTATTATCAGTATAACTCATTTAAATAACCCTACAAAAAGTATTTTGTGATTTCTTGGAAGAAACTTAGATTAGCATCTGGCAGAGTTATATTTACTCCATATTTCTCACCACAGGAAGAAAGTTACTTAGGCTGGATTATGTCAGAGACAGCATCTAGAAAAGTATCATAGACCAAAAGGTAACTAGTTTGAGAATTTAAGTGGCTACTTGGCAGATAAGAGCAACTTGCTCACAGCTGGAACTATTTTCACAGACCTGTCTTCAGTCCTGAGAACTTAACATGAGTAGTGATTTTGCTGGTGAAAAGCTTTAGAAAGCATTTTCCAGACAACAAATCTTTGTCTTCTGATTATCACCAAGATGTACAAAAGCAGACACAATAATACCCATAAGGGGATAGAGATTCTTTATTCAAAAGGGGTCTTATAAGCCTTAATTCTAAAACCTGAACCCACTTCCTCATTGATTTAATTACCCATCCACACTAGAGGTTTCAGAAATCCCTCTTTTGCTTCCTAAAGTAATTAGCACGCATCCTGAAATGCATGTATTAACTACAGACTCATCATCAATAAAAATATATACATTTTATCTTAGGCACCAAAACCAAGTGAAACACTTGCATAGAAGTGAATGAAATAAAATTATGCTTTCAAGAATGGTTGAGAGGGATGATGACAGGTTTATTGTGAGAATAGAGCCTTTTTATTTCAGATCATTCGGTCTTTAGTATCGAAAGCATAATTAGGTATACAGAGAGAGTTTCACTATATTTTACCAAGATAATATAGCAATTATAAACTTGTAAGTAACAAAAAAAATTGATATATAAAGCAAAATCAGTATAAAATATGAAAAGTCCTCTTTCATATAAAGGACTGTAAAAAATTAACACAAAAGTATATTTTACGGGTGTGATACATAGAATATCTCACAAATGTTTGAGAGACAGTTTATTTCCTACTTCTGTGGAGAATACTGACAGAACAACTAGAGTGTGCTATTCACAGAGTTGTTAGGATATGTTTGTCTCATCTTACAAATAGGAAACATAGTCGTGAACTGTGTATTTTGTATGCATGGCAATAGGCTTTACCTTTTAAATTTCTTTCACCAATGTACATAAGAAGTACACAGTGCCATAAATAATTGTATATGACACACAAATGGACATTTTTCACAACCAGGTAGTCAGTACCAGTGTTTTGCAGAAGCTGGGCTTCCAGAGTTCTTCTTTCTGGCTATCTTCCACTATCAACCTGTCACTACCCTAGCCTGACTTCTCATTTGGGAAGTTTTTTCCTCTGAAAAGAAGCCATCTCAGACCTCCCATCTCATTTCATACTTATTTTAGGAACAATGGCTGAGTTCACCACTTTATTGCCTTTTGCCAGTTTCTCCTAGCAACTGCTCTCAGATACGGAGAGATTCATGTTTAGCTTACAAAATCCAATTTAGAAGAAAACCAAGCAAGAGTTTAACTTGTTTCATCATAATTCATGTAATTATAGAGATGCTTTAAGTTTCCCTGCTCCCTGACTTTCCTGTCAAGTAGTTTATATAGTGTTTGTGTGTGCTGGGCTTCCTGCCAGGCTCTTTACAGACCTTGTCTCAATTAATCCCCCCAGCAACCCCCTGAGGTGTGCATATCATTATCTCCTCTTTCCTAGAGGAAACTGAGGCTGGGAGAAGCAAAGGTCACACCAATGGCAATTGATAGGACACTTACCTGAGTGTCAGCCATGGCAACCTCCTGCCTCCCTCCTCTAATCTAAAGAAACAACCTTAGATTCCCTGCTGCTTCTTTGTACCCTGAACACATGTATTTCAATGTGCATAGTTTCCCAATAATGTAAACACTGATGTCACATTTTTCAAATCCAACTCCTTTTCTTTAGTACTTTGCAATTTCCAAAGCATTCTTAAGTCTACCATTTCATTTTTATTTCCAAGTGCATTTTAAAGGATATTATCATATCATAATATTTACACTTCTTCACACTCCGAAGTCCACCACATTTACATACTTTGTATCAAATGAATATTTCTAGTCAATATTAATTTTTATCTCGTTTTATTCTCTTCATTATTGTGGATTTTTTTCATCTCGAGCCTACCTTTCCCATTTTTGCTTGTCTGTGTATATCCATATAGCTAATGGATTTATTGGACAGTTATTAATTGAAGACCTAATTATGCCAGGTACTAGGCCACACTGAAGATTGTAATTCTTTGTGTACTCTTCCCCAACTCCACTGCTTCACAGACTATCTAGCCTAAACGGATTTTTTTAATTCCAATTTTTTTTCTTTTTTTTTTATTTTTATTTACTTATGCATACAGAATTGAGGTACAAGCCAGAGGAGCAGGGGAGGTGAGAGGACTCAGCAGAGGCAGAGTAGGGAGCAGAACAGGCAGATCAATGAAGTACATGCCAAGGGGAGTGGCAGGCGGGTCAGGAGAGGTCTGCAGCACTGTGTGGATCACCTCTGGCCAGGAATCAAACTTGCACTCAAGCAGCTGTGGCCAGCTTGCAGTGCTGCGTCCTAACCCATTGGCCACCAGGGAAGGCCCCAATTTTTTTTTTTAATGAAGCACCCTTGTACTTTCTTGTAAATTGATATTTCTTAAAGTATCCCCTGATGCACTTTACCATTTTTGTCCTTTGGTAGTTGGCCTCTTTTTGCCATTTTTTTTCACCTGGTGCCTTTTTTATTATTGTCCTCACTCTTCGGCTTAACACTTGTCTCCTGCCAGGTTGTTAGCTGGCAACAGCAGGGTTGAAAGTAGCAAAAAAGCTGCTGCCAAAAAAGTCCTGTAATCAATGTTCAGTCAAGTTAGTCATATGGTGTGTGCATTAAGTAAATGTTTATATACAGTTACAGAAAGAATGAGTGTTTCACTCAAAGTTACCCACGGAAAATAAACTGAAGTTAGAAGAGCAGTTCAACGATGTCCAGAGTAATTATTTGTTGATGTCTTATGGCAATAATCCAGTTCTTAGAGCAATTAACATACACACATTTTATGGAGATAATTCTGGTTGACAATACTGTATGGGCTTCAGGTATACAGCTTCCTACCTCAGCACCTGTATGTATCACACCACCTCTATCAAATGTCCTTCCACCAACCGCCTCCATGTCTCCCTTCCCTTTTGGTCACCACCATTTTGATCAAGTGGAGTTTTCAACACCCTTCTCCTTGTTTTGTCTGGTCACTGCCTCCTTCTCCCGTGGTCTTTGAAAATCAGTAGCGTCCCCACTGGGGTGTGGATTAGAGAGATGAGGGAGAAAGCCTCTGTCCTCAAGAGGCCCATGAACAAAGGAAGAGAAACAATCAAAGTTGTCAACTTAATGAATATGACAAAGACAGGTACACAGAACTCAGGTAGCACAAAGAAGGAGTGACAGACATTTACAAAAAGAAAATTCAGGAAAATTTTAGTTGTTGACATCTGAGCCAGGTTTGAAAGATAAGGACACATTATCATGGTGGGGTGGGAGGGGAACATCCTTTAAATCATAGGTAGCACATTGCTAGTGATAGGCCAACTTTCACCCACAAAATTTTGATAATTAAACACAGGTATTTTTAATGATTACTAAATTTAATTTGATTACCAAATCAAGCAGCACTTAATAATTTGGGAGCTTTATATAAACAGACATTTCTAGCTTCTAAAAACATCCAAATATCTAGTAAACACTGTACCATCAACTGCAACTTCTGAACAGCTTTCGATCAGATACAAACCCTCCAGTCGGCTACAATCCTGCCACTCCATAGACTGACATTCAAGCCATCCTTAAGTTGGCAACCTTTGCTTTACATCTTGGAAAAATCAGTAGCAAATTCATCCTATCTAGAAACATGTTTCCCGTTCAGCGAGCTGATCATACTGCTGATTGTTGAGATGGAATTTTTCTTACTTTTCCCTTTTCTTGGCTCTCAAACTTTCTCCTACTATCCTTCCTAGTTTTTTTTTTTTTTTAGATCTATTTATGCATACAGAACTGGGGTACAGGCCAGAGGTGCAGGAGCAGTGAGAGAATTCACCAGAGACCGAGTGAGGAGAACAAGACAGATCAACTAAGAACACTGCTGAGGGGAGCAGCGGGCAGGTCAGGAGAGGTCTGCCGCGCCATGTGGGTCACCTCCGGGGCAGGGATGGAACTGGCACCAAAGCAGCCATGGCTTTAAGTGCTGTGCTTTAACCCATTGCGCCACCAGGGAGAGCTCCCTTCCTATTTCTTAACTAAGCAATAACTCCTTTACTATTTGCCATTTCATATAACAATCTATGCCATTAACATTTTCTCTACTCTCCATTTACAGAAAATGCCTTACTTTCCTTCTCTTACCATTCTGCATCCATAACATCTTCTCCATTCACTTGTTAGATTTGCTCTTCCAGCCACATTCTTTTATTTATATTATTTATATATTTTACATCCATATTCATTTTAAAACAATATTTACTTCCCCCCCACACACACACACACACACACACCCAGCCACATTCTTTGTCCTGGTAGGGACAGCCTAGCAGAGGTTACATAACTCTGGGCATTGGTTTCCTAAGCTGCAAATGAACTGGGGATAGACTTAGCTTGTAAGATTCTTGTGATGATTAAAAGGTCCAATGTGTTAGCTCAGCAAACTCAGTTACTGTTGGATCCGTAAGTCGTTCTGACATGCATATAGTTAAGACTGCTTTACCCTTTCTCCATCTACTCCCTCTCCTAGGCCATGTCCCAGCTACACACAGTTGACCTAGAAGAAATATTTGATTTTCTGCCACTTGACTAGTCACTGGAGTTTGCTTAGTTTTTCATTTCTTCTTGTCAGACTTTTGCATGTCCCATACACCTCTGATGGACAGTCCAGGTTTCGAGACAATAAATCCTGGCTATTATAAAGTTATCAGAAAAATACTCTCTCAGTTTACACTCCTCAATCTCTTTTTTGTTTCCCTGAGACTAAATCACTTTGGTGAAATGTGTTCCAGATTGCTAACATGTGTCTCTAAACAAGGATTCACAAATCCTGAGCTCTTACAGATAGGTTCTATAATATTTGACTGTGAAGGTCACTGTGCTCCAAGAGGCAGAGGAAATTGCTGCTCCAGGAAAAGCCATATTTCCTCAGGACAGTTTTTTATTTCATATCTTTGAGGGAACAAATGGTTTTTTTAAACAATTTGTGAGGCACAAATGTGCCTTTTTCCTCTGACCCTCAGAACACTTGATATATTTATGAGCACTTCACCTGTTTTTCACACATATTTTCCAAATTACACCTGAAATATGTTTACTTCTCTTCCAGTATCAGTAAAAAATAATGTGATATTAACCCAGTATATAATAATGCATTGCACTACTATTTTATTATCTTCAGAAATATCTGAATTGAGAAAGGCAAATTTGGTTCTACTTATATTGCCAAAAGGCAAACTGACAGTGTCAGGAGAACTCTGGGGGGGGGGGGGTGAATCCCCACACACACACCCAACCTGCAGGACCAGGAGGCCCAGACCCCTTGAATAAGCTGAAGCTCAGCTCAGCTCTCCTGTTATTTCCAGAATCAACTGAGACTTGTAGTCTAGATAGGACAGCCCCATTGCACTTATGTGTATTTTTTCAGGATGACTGATAAGGGCAAGCATTCTGTGGATACATTCATCGGAGCAATGTACTTTTCGTGTGTATTAGTATTGAACAATATACACAATCCCAAAATACAACCGATGACATTTCATGACATTATTAGAAAAAAATTCTCAACCTTTATCCCTCTCTTTTCTCCAACTGTTTGAATTATTTAAAAATTTTTTCTGTAATCAAGGTCCAAACCATGGTGAAAATGAAACCATAAAATAAGTTTTCAACACCCAACATCTTTTCTTGGGTTATTTTTCTTTAACTCATACAATAACCAGTCTTTACGGGGGGGGGGGGGAGGGATTGGCCCTAGCCAGAACAATGTTTGTGCTTAAATTTCATATCTGCAGGCTTTCAAATGTTTCATTAATTGTTGACTTAACCTGTTCTTGCAGAGTTGACTAATAAGGGTTCCAACAATAAGACAAAGAACACACAAAAAAAACTAGGTCTAGTTCTTTCACTTTCTACTTAGTGCCTTTAATTCATTTTACAGTCTGCACTTTATTGCAAGCTAAATAACAAGTTCCTTTACTCCACACTTCACAAACTGGTTGCTGCAAAAGATATCCCACATTAGTATCTTCCTTGGTCTACAGATGCTTCAAAAATCAGTAAATATTAACAACCCAAATGTCCAATTCTTCTTGAAAAACATAAAGGACAGCATTCCCGAATAGCAGCAATAGTCTCGAGCTGAACAAGACTGCCAGCTCTAGAAGGGCTGTGCACTTCATAATCTTCCATAATCCCCACCTCTCCTTAATGTCTCATACCAACACTGCTTTTCTCGGTTCTATAAGCTACTGATATTAATAGGCATGTGATTTTGCAACCCTGTTTTAGTCACTTATCTGCTATGATTTCTAGGAGTTCACCATCTAGTCTTCCGAATTTGCTTCAATTTTTCTTAGTTACTCTTATAATGTTAGCATATGATAGAAGCATTTCTCCAGATGTCCTTAATATAAAAAGCCCTGGGCCCTGCTGTTAGATCTTACTGAGTTTGTGAGCTATTAAAACCCTGGGTCTTTCTTACATGAATTATCTCATGAAGTTGATTGCCAAACATGGTCTTGCTCTGCCCTACAATTTTTTTTTTAATGAGAATCCATAGTTGTATCTTGAATTTTCATTTCTCAAGGATTTTGTGATTATTAAATATACCACTGTTGAAACCATCCAAGTTTTGAAGTGAAGCCCTAAACAAACACCAAATACTTTATCATTTACATTTGTATTGATGATAGCCTGACAAGAAGGCTATCTCTGTCAGTAAATGATTTGTGAGTTTTATTTTATATGTTTGGGGTTTTCTTAACTACTGAAAAAAATAAAAGTGAAAAGAGTCCGTGAAAGACTTGAAATCTCAAAAAAATGCCTTTTAAAGTATATTAAAACCAGGGCCCTCCCTAGTGGCACAATGGGTTTGGGCACTGCAAGCTACACCCAGCTACTCCAGTGCAAGCTGGATTGAGTCCTGGGAGATGACCACATGGCGCGGCAGACCTCTCCTGACCTGTCTGCTGCTCCCCTCAGCAGTGTACTTCATCATCTGCCTGTTCTGCTCCCCACTCTGACTCTGGTGAACCCTCTCACCGCCCCTGTACCTCTGGCCTGTACCCCAGTTCTATATACATGAATAAATAAATAAACCTTTTTAAAAAAAAAAAGGTATATTAAAACCAAATCACAACATTAGTCTCATAACACCTTATTAAGAGACACCTTATCAGAAGTACATTTGAATCAAGAATGACCTATAAGCACGATACCCAAGCCCCTTCTATCTGCTTTATCAGGCACGACTCTACTTTTCCTTAGCAGGAGCCCAGCCGCATTCCACTTGCGCTGAATGTACAAGTCTGTGTACAAAGGAGATAGCACTAAAAACATCACATCATCCTCTTACTCATAGAATATATTTAAACCATCTCCCTGGTTTTGAGTCCTCTCTAAATTTTTTTATCTTTCTATTCTCATATTAAGAATGGATGGTTATGGGTCACTTTTAGTGAGCAATACTTTCTGAAAATAGTACCAGAAAATCATCAAAAATTAGGAGAGCCAATCCAAAGTGAAATGCCAAAGTGGGGGGAAAAAACATCCCTAATCCAAACCACCCCACAGGCTATTTCTGGGACAAAGCAGCCCACAGTGGCTGGGAGGGGCTGGACCCCACCGTGCCTTTCTCTGATTCCTCTCCTGCCTCTCTCTTTTGTGTTTAAGATTGGAGCACAGTGCTACTTGGAATGCTCGGCCCTGACGCAGAAAGGTCTCAAAGCTGTTTTTGATGAAGCGATCCTCACCATTTTCCACCCCAAGAAAAAGAAGAAACGCTGCTCCCAGGGTCACAGCTGCTGTTCAATTATCTGAGGTGATTGAGATGCACCCACCCCTTCTGGGGCGGGAGTGGGGGCCGACCTCTGCCTCCCGGGGACAGCTCCGAGGAGGCCACAGAGAGGAAGGCCCTCTGCGGAGTCGCTCCACCGCCCCAGATGCCTCGCAAGCACAGCACACCAGCCAGCCCACTGCCATGTCCTCCCAACCGGCCAGAGCGTCCCACACCTTTTGAGAAGGCTGAGCCTGGGTGACAGCCAGGGCCGCTGCCAACTAAGTAGGGCATAAAGTCAAAGGCCATCTTGCCTTTTACACTGCCCTCCCCACAACATGAAGCCAACCGTTAATCATCATGGGAAAACCAAAAGAGACTCCCTCCCTCATCAGCGGCCTTACTTGACATCTTTTGCAAACCATTGGAATACAATATTAACCTTTTTCTCTGACTCTGCTGTTCTACCCATGTGTCTGACATCGACATCCCTTTGTATTATTTTAAGATCTTTACTGATTTACCAGTTTACTCAGGCCTTACAAATCCAGACCAAATTAGCCTAAAGACAGAGTGTTTTGTATTTGTTTCTATTTTCAGCATGTTTTTACCAAAGTTATGAGAACCAACATGTACCTCTGAATGCCTAATTACAAGAAGATACCTTTTAAGGAAAACCTTAAAAACTTTTGGAAATTTGATGAACCATGATTTCTTTTACCTGGTTAGAAGAAAACACCATCTGAATTGTTACAGGTCCACATTTTTGCCAAAGACGACTCCCACTAGAAATACTTGCAGGGATAATTAGCCTTCTTCTTCTTCTTCTTTTTTTTTTTTTCCTTTTCTTTTCTTTTTCTTTCTGTATTATATTGTCAGGGCAAGTAACAAATGAACTGTCTTTGAAAGTTTCTGATTTTCTATCAACGTGATAGGGGGGCCGAGAGAAAACAGCAGGAGCCACCCTTTAAAGTTGTCTTCATTCTGCGCCTTCCCTCCACAGTCTGAGCCCTTTTGCTTGCTCCCTGGACTTCACACTTCCTCAAATGCCCACCCTCTTCTTTCTCCCCCAGTAATTGCCTGATCTGAAAGGATCTGGTAGTAGGACATCAAAACTGAAGTATTGAAAAGTCCCCAAAGGTTAAACAAAGTGTCTCAATTTTTTCACCTGCTTCATAAGAAAGTGCGTCTCAGTTTGTCCTGAGTAAGTTCCCAGCTACTTATATTACATTTTCCAGGGACAGCTGGGACTAAAATACTGCCGCTCCCTATTCCCAAGGCCTGTTGTCCCAAGTGTATCTTCAGGGTTCAGGTCTTTGGATACCAAGCTCTGCGTTTAGTCCCTGGTGATGTTCTCTACCATAGGGACTTTGGCCTTGAGGAGGAAAAAGGAAAAAGCATGTCCTTCCCTCTAAAACAGCCAGGGACTTGCCTCTGGAGGGAGCTGCTTCTAGCTTTTAATTAGAGACTATGAAGACTTCTAATTAGTCTTATTTGCTTTCAATTACCCTTGAAACATCCAGGTAGGCACTTAAATTTTTATTTGAATTGCATAAGCAAAGTGCCTTTTTGCAGCATGAAATTGCACCAATTTTGGTCTTAAAAAATTTCCACATTCTGGCCCTCCCTGGTGGCGCAGCGGGTTAAAGCACAGCACAAAGAAGCTTAGGCCACTTCCACATGAGTTTGATCCCCGCCTGCCCCGGAGGTGGCCACATGGCGTGGCAGACCTCTCCTGACCCGCCCGCTGCTCCCCTCAGCAGTGTACTTCGTTGATCTGCCTGTTCTGCTCCCCGCTCTGTCTCTGGTGAATCCTCTCACCCTCCGCATCTCTGGCCTGTACCCCAGTCTTTATGAATAAATAAATCTTTTAAAAAAAAAAATTTCCACATTCATAATCCTCCTGTTCAAAAAATCCAGTCTTTCTAGTTCTTTCTGCTCCTGAAGAAAAACATTTTAAAAAGCTTAAGGTATGAGTCTTTTCTCTTCTGTAAGATCTTCCGTGACTCCCACTCAGTTTGGGGGGTTCTTGCTTGGTTAGTTTGTGTTTGGTTAGAATCTCTGAAATGTGCTGTCCCTTATCCCACATTTCAAGTTATTTTCCTTCCTCTCTCAGTTAGTTGCTAACCATTTAACAACAGAGAGAGAGAGAACCTAAAAGAAAACGGGAGTTTTGTAAGCCAAAGCTTGACATTTCAAGAAAACAAGGACTTTCTGCTTTTGTAAATGGAAATCAAGTGTGTATAAATTATGACTCTGCAGAGGTAATGAATTCATCCTTTCTAGACAATAATAAGCATTTCGCATTGTAATGCATGAAATACTGTTAGCCAGTTTTTTACATCACTGCATAACCTACATTGTGCTGAAAGGCCATGTTTCACTTCTCATTGATGTGGATGAAACACCATGAGTTGCACGTTTGCTCTACCATGGAGAATTTTCCACTATGTGTGAACTCAACAGGCAAGTGGTTCCCCAGGATATTACCTCACTAATGGACCACAGGGACTCTGTAGCCTAGAACCAGAACCCAGGGAGAGACTGTTAGTGTCTGGTTGGAACACAGGTTCCTAGAGGTTTGAGACATTAATTACTGAATAAAATAATGAAGGGCAGAGCAGACCAAGTAAGTTAACATCATCCCACCACAACAATCGTGTATTCCCTGTTTCAAACTGTAGTTTATTTCAGTTGAGATGTTCTGTGCCATAAGAGTGACTATATTCTGAAGCCAAAATGAAGACCAAATGGAAATCTGAAGAAGATTCTTTAATGGCCTACACCATTTTTCAAAGACAAGAAGGGACAAGAGCTTTCTGCAGGCTGGTGTCTTAAATTTTCAGGACTGAAAGAGGCCTCAGAAACCATAGTCCAGCTCAAACCCAGATCAGGTAAGGAGATGTGTTGTGGTGGAGCTGAAACAGAGCTTAGTTCTTGCTTCCCATCCACTACCCACCTCCTTAATGTGAAATTTCCATTATCATACAAATAAAGTGGGAGTTTTGTAGGCATATTACTGGAGTTGCAACTTTTTTGCTCTATAGCTCCTAGCCACACTACTTACCTATAATATGGATCCACTGTAATTAATTCCATCAGAATAGCAACTACCTAGAGATGACAACTGGATTTACATACAAATAAGCCTGACTCCACAGTTCGCAATGAAATGTAATCCTAATCTAATTGCACAGTGGATGGCAATGTAATCCCAACCTAATGACTCAATCAGGAAACTAATTTGACAAATTTTCTTTTAATTGGCTGGTTACTTGATAGAATTAAAAACTCCTCAGTCTGTTTTGGAACTACAAAAGGCCTATAACAACACAAATCAAAGCCATGTCAGCAAAGGGATAAGTTTGTAAGAAATCTGTGTTGATTTCTGCCAAGGAGAGTTATGCTCAAAGAGCAATTACTGAATGCAAGGCCTACAGCAATCTTAAACCAGGAACCACTAAGCTGGAAAGTCAAAAACTAAGTTATACACGTATGACAAGATTTGGTTCTAAGACCCAAATAATAATAATGATACATGTGATCTTGATGTGAGAAGTTCTAGAAGATTATATAAAACCATTTGGAAGACTTATGGCCCACAAAAGGAATGTCAGATGAAATGAGTGGAAGTAACTATACACAATTTTCATAGAGCTAGCAATAAAGAAATACTACTTAATGGTAGTAAAACAGCAATCACAGCCATACTCACAATCTTCAGAGGAAATAAAGTTAAACCCAAAATTTAAAGCCAACAAAAATGTTCAAAGTTACATGGAGCAATAAGCTTGCAAAGTAAATGGTCTCCAAAAATATATATTTGAGTCATGAGCCTTTAAAGATGAAATTTTGCATTCAGGGCGACAAGCTCATCCATGAGATTGAAGCAATGGGAGATTAGAAATGGAGAATTTGCTTTCAAGGACTCTTTGACACCATGCTGGACATTATTAGCTAACCACTCACACCTTCATTTTGAAACCTACTTCTATGTTTAAATGCCAGAATGCCAAATGTACATTCTTGCTCAACAGAGAGCACCACAGGTCTCCAGCTATGTCTTAAGAGGCACTGAATAGGTTACCCCTGTAAAAATTAGGGAGCTCAACAAATATTTTCATTTCAAGGACCATTAGATATAGAAAGGAAAAGAGGTCAGGGAAAACAAGTCTCTTACCAAAGATGTCAGGTCCTTTTAAAAAACAAACATTTAGAAAATGAAGAAAAATATAATACCAAACACAAGGCAGAAATACATACCTGACAAATCTTCCCAAGAATTGCTAAGCTTTTGCCTGGCCTCTGGAGGCACAGGGAAGAGAGGAGGCCTGTTAATGCAAAGAGCAGTCCATGTTTCTGGGCTTCTAAGCAGTCAGCCAGCAGGATTAATCATGTGATAATCCCGGTTAGTTCCACTTCGCCACATATTAAAAATGAATGCCATGCTGGTCAGTGCCAGCACAGCCCCTCACACTTCTGGTCTACAGAAAGTTGTCAAGAAGCATCTACAGAGACATGGGGAAGAATACATAAATTGTTTTTCAACTCTCCTTGAGCATCAACAAGACTTAATACCTGAAAGGGATGAGTTTGCAATATCTAGAAAGACAGTTTCTTGGAGGACTGCTATTTAGTCATCTTCCATGGTGATTCTCAAAGCAGAAAGATGGCATTGCAAACGGAGAGCATTAGGAACAGACTGCAAACGTGTGCGATTGAGCCACAGTTCATAGGGTATCAATGGTCCTCAAAGGCCAGAAAGGAAATCAAAGCGCCCGCTCTTCACAGAGGCACTGCACGCATCAGAGGCCGGGCCGCTCTCCTGGGATCCACTCGGGTCAGGGCAGGGTGAGTCAAGGAGGGTTTGGCTCATCTGTAAATTCGTGGGCTGCAAGTTCAACAACAGTTCTTGGCTTTCAACTTCCACTACAGGAAATTAGAGCAATAGCTGCATGATTAATCTTGGTCACAATCTTTTTTTTTTCCTCCTTAGGGAACATGATGTCAAGAAACAAGAACCCTTTTATACGTGTATGTTTTAAACATGTTTGCCCTGGTCAGCTCACTCTGTGAACTGCATGACTCAGACTTCACAATGCTGTAGCTGGAGTCATTTTGTTGTTTCTTCAGCCATATCCTCCAAGCCTCCCAGATAACAAGCAGTTATCTTCGATGAGAAAGATCTAACAGCTTGCCTGAGATGATCTGAGGGCAGGGTCCCCTAAGCTCAGACCAAGTCTGACCCAAAAGCCACCATTGAGCACTAAGCCTGTGGCCCTGTTTTTGAGTTCATGTTAATTCTTTGGAGAAAAAAATAAGAAATACTTTCATGACAGAGCAGTATGTTTGTAAATAGCTTTGTAAAATTTCTACCACCTGCCATTTTTTAAACCAACTTTTTTAAGCAATTGAATTTTTTCTCCTAGAGGAGCCCTGGGCAGGAAGGTTAATGAATTCTATATCACCTCGCTTAAATTGTTCTTGGCACTGAGTAAATAGTAGTGCTGTTTGAGTACGTCCCAGCAGAATTTTCCCCAGCTGAAACAGTCTGTGCTCTTCCCCAGGTAATCTCTGCAGAGGAATGATGGACACGGCAGCACAGCTGACCCGCACACAGGTTGACTTTCTTACAGCCTGCTTCTTATGTGACGGCTATTCTTAGTACACTTTTCCTAACTAATGGAATATTATTTCGTATAAGCCTTACCCTTGCGTTTTATGTTATGCCAAGTTCTGACATTTAGTCTTTTTTCCTGCTCTCATCACCGGGTTATCTGAGGGTGAGTCCCTCAGCCACTGATGAAAAGTGCCTTTCCTAACCCTCTGCTAGAGTGGGAATTGGTTAAGCCCTTTGCTACTTGAAGTGTGGGCCTCAAAGTCAAGAGGGACTCTGGGGGAGCTGGTTAGAACTGTTGAGTCTCAGGCCCAATTCAGACCTACTGAGTTCAAATTCTTATTTTAACAAGACCCCTAGGTGATTTTTGTGCATATTAAAATTTGAAAAATACTGATTTAGGAGACAACCAAGTGTGTTATCAGTCACTAGACCCAGAATGTAGCTGTGTGAGGTGATTCAGAAACCATCAGCTTCCCTTGTCTCTCTGATACCACCTTTTGGGTATTGCACATTTACTGTATAAATAAAAAGGTTTTCAAAAGTCCTTTTTCCTCCTTGTCATGTGCTGCCCAGCTGCATTAAAGGAAGAAGCATATTTGGGGATGGAAAGCACAAAAGCAGCATCTGGTTTGAAAGATCTGCTAAATCGAAAGTACTTCTGTTCTAAATCTCTTTGGCATGTATAAGAGAGAGGGGGAAAAATGCCCTCCAAAATTATTTTCCATGAAGAAATCGGAATCATATCACATGAAGGTATGAACATATAAAACAAAGACAAAACAAATTCCTAAGTCAAAAAAAAAGTGTAAAGCTTCTGTGTGGCTGCTTAAGACACACTGCTTTGCATGCCAGAATAAGGGTTGACTACAAACTTGTCCTCTTAACAGAACATTCCATAGATTTATATCATTATTGCCCTAAACACAGACCAGAGCTGTACTCACTTATCCAACATCTCTGGGAAACATGTTTTGTTCTCCCTACCCACACCCCATCCTTTGCACAAAAGCACTTAAAAAAAAATGTGTGCACGCATACACACACACACACACACACACACACACACGTGCGCGCGGAAGCCCATCATCTCCTTCACATTCCATTGCTGCTAAGGAAGTCCTGAACATCTATCACACCTACCTGACAACAATCCAAGAGCAAACACAAGCACCCCCATTTCCTTTGTACCCAGTCCACTCATTTTCAGGCTGAGAACCAGATGGCCCCATGCAGCCCCTGGGGGCAGCCTCTATCCCAAGCACCTGCACCCCGCAGTGTCCCTTCACCCCGCCAGCAGAGCTCTGGCTCTGCTGCTTTCAAACAAATGTCCTCCTTCCTTGTCTAGGCTGCAGGAACCTACTTGTGCCCCAAGATACCACTAAACAGAAAAAGTTTTAAACTGGGGCAGCTTTTACATCTGGGAGCAGTTTGGCTAGCCAAAGCAGCTAACATTCTTGGAAGGGTTTAGTCAAATCCAAAACAGTCTTACCAAAGCTTTTTTTATTATTGCACATGTATTCTTGAGTTCTTGCTTGTAACCCCTGGTGCAAGCTGCCAAAGAGTACTTCTTATACAGGGACAGCCTATTCTCCTCCAGCCTCCACTGTACACCCACCAGCCACTGCTGTCCTCGGGCCATGACAGAAAGTACATTTTATCTCCATCAGCAACTAATGGTGTGGGGGAGGGACAGGAAGCTTGACTAACAATGATATCTCTTCAAGAATTAGCATACTGGTAATTTTTAAATAGTTGATTCCTAGACCTTTTACTGCAACAGAAAAATTAAGTCTCGGTCCAAGTTACCTGAAAGCCTCCCTTTATTTTAACAAAAGCTTTGCCACTGAATTAAGCACATTGGAATAATCAAAAGAGGCCTCAGACCCAAGCACAATGGCTCCTCCTCCTCCACTTGTTTGTTACTTCCAGTGAGTAAACTTAGGATACATTCGTGCCTTTTGGCTTTGTCCAGATTTGGACAAAAAAAATCTGAGTTGCCTCAGATGTTATTAATGCTGAAATTTTCAGTGCAATTTTCTTGTACTTTGCTTTTTATTAACCAAGGTTAATATTTCAGTGGGAAGATGCTTCGGTATTTGATTCCCAGGTTTGCTCAAGCAAGAGTCAAAAAATGAACAAAAATTTCATCCTAGGAACATTTCCAGTATATTTTAAAGACTGGATATCATTATTCCACTAAGTAAAAATGGTCCCCAAAGTATTATAATATGTGATATGCAGATTCCAAGAGACAAATGAAAGATGAGGTTAAACAGCCTAGAAGTTGAGGTCCCTTTCATCTGAGGGGTCCCCCCTTCCACCTTATCGACATCTTAAGACTGAATGAACAGCACAATGGGACCAGGAAAACTTGGTCTGTCTGTGCATTTCCTGTAGAAAGAACTTGCAAACTAACAGGATTGAATTTCTCTTTAAGTGCATAATTCTGCATGTATACTTCCTCTAGATAATGACTATTAATAATTCACCAACATTCTTTATTGTATAAGGATATGGTTTATTTTAAGTGAATAAAAACTCTTTGAATTGTTTTAAATGGCATACTACTTGTGACTTGGTAATATTTAAATTTATTCCTTGATTATAAGCCTATCTTTAACATCCCTGAAAGAAAATTACAGTTCTCACCTTAGTGATACTGATAGTCTTTGTGAAAGAAAAATGGCTTTCTTTTTCTTTTAAAGAATGTGTTCTATTTGTTCACTTGCTTGCTTATTTGTTTTGGTTTGGTTTTTTATTTTGGGAATTGAATCGGTTTCCAGAAGCCCTGCTAGTTCACAATCAAGGTTAAAACATATAATTGATCCTGCATATCAGAAAGCCTTTTTTAAAACTCAGTTATCCAATATGCTAAAGAAATTGAATAGTCGGAAAACTTAAAGAGTTTTAAAGCCAAAGAGCTTAGGAAATGTTTACTTTAAATTTAAAGCCAAAGAGCTTAGGAAATGTTTACTTTACTCCTGATAATGAGGACCTAGAACATAAAACAGAATAATCCCTCAAAATTCTTTAACCAGGGAGACAAGGCTTTTCTTCTACACTGCCAATTACCATGCTGTATACTGGGCCTCTTTTTTCTGACATTTTTTCAATTTCTTACTCTTGTTACTAGATATCACTTCCTCAGAGACCTTTAGTACCCCCTTTTGATACTCAAACCAGCCACTAAGCCTGGTAGAGCTCACCATACATAATTCCAACCCATACCATTGATAAAGGGAAGGATAAAAAAAAAAAAAAAGCCAGAAGATTCATCTTGCAAATAAAGACCGACTTGCAAATAATGACCAAGATCCTGCTAAACCTAGTAAACCCAATAAAATTGACTAGTAGAAATTTCAACAGAAAAAAATGTACAGAATTTGCTAAAGAATGGCTTAAATGTTTCTTCTTGACAGTTTGCTATAGTTTTTGAAAAAAAGAGCAAAGAGGATAAGGTGCACATTATTTTTTAGAAAATGACTCCTGAATGAAGAAGACAAGTGGTCCTCTTGAAAAATTTAATGAAGTGCAATTCATTTTATCAATGCTCCATTATTTTTAATTAGAGATACAATTTATGATCTCAAAAATACTCTTTGTTACATTAAAAAGACCTCATTTACAAGAAGAGTGAATTTGGTCACTGCAGCAGAATTTGGTCATTTCCTGGAGGTTTTATTCCCTAGCCAATGGTAGAAGGGGAGCAACAGTTACCATTTGAGCCAACTAATAAAACTCGGAACAGAATGAACTGTGACAATTTCATCTGTATTCAAAAAATGTACCCATGTGAACAAGAATTCGGGAAATTCCCCTTCTCCTTACCTTTTGTTAATTGCAACATAAGCAGAGTAGGCTGTTGTTGAGATTTTGTTTTACCTGGAACGCCCCTGAAAGGCAGTGGAGCTGTCTTTCCTGAGTGTTCCTATCACCTGGGACCTAAGTTGCACGCACTCTGCCTTCACCTCAGCAGCAGTCTCTGCACTTCCCACTGAGGTTCTGCTCCTTTTCTCCCCCAGACTGTCCTATCATTAGATTTAATTGGAGCTGCAGCAAAGCATCACCTTCAGAGAAGTTATTCAGGAAATTAGACAAAAAATGACACTTTCCAAATAATACCAAGGCTTCCATTAAGCCACCTCCAGAAGAGACCACAAACATGCTCATCAATGAGAATCCGACAACCCAAAGTCAATAAATTCAAAGACTTCTCAGATCAAGAGTGACTTGAAAGAAGCATCCCAGAAAGCCCAGTGCCCCAGGAAAAAGGGTCTGGTTCTACATGTGCTGCCTAAGAGTCTTCGGTCTAGGCCCTCTCTGGTGGCCCAACGGGTTAGGACGCAGCACTGCAAGCTGGGTGCAGCCGCCTCAATGTGAGTTTCATCCTTGGCCCAAGAAGTGACCTACATGGGGCGGCAGACCTCTCCTGATCCGCCCGCTGCTCCCCTCAGCAGTGTACTTCATCGATCTGCCTGTTCTGCTCCCCACTCTGTCTCTGGTGAACCCTCTCACCGCTCCTGCTCCTTTGCCTGTATCCCAGTTCTGTATACATAAATAAGTAAATCTTTAAAAAAAAAAAAGTCTTCAATCTAGGGAAAAGTTACTCGAAGTTTCTGCCTACGTTTGACACAAGAATTCTGAAGGAATGATAGGAAACGCCCCACCCACAGTAAGAAGCCCATGAATATTAGCAATATTTTTATCTTAATTTACCAGCTAAAAAACAGTACCTTGCATCAACTCCAAGGGAATAAATATTTGTGGAAATGAGGGAAGAAGAGAGAAGGCAAGAAAGGGAAGGGGAGAAAGGAACACACAAGACAGGGATTTGAAAAAGATTCATGTTTAGCTTTGATGGATATTTTCCCGATTTTTCATTAATAATCTTGATTATGACATCTGTTTAATACATACATTTTATGAATACCATGAACTGGAAAGACTATGCACTGTTAGCCAGTAGAACCCGCACATGAAAACCCTCTTGCTGACTTTATGGATTTTTCTGTCTGCTACAATTAAGTGCCCCTTGCCTCTCAGAGCTACGCATCAGCTGATCTCTGCTACCTCCAACTTCCTTCGCTTCTACTGCTACTGAGAAACCCAGTCCAATGGCAGCCTCTCCTATGTTACCCCAGCCTACAAAGGGCAGCACTACTGAGCTTCTGAGAATGCAGAGGCCCTCGCTAGTGCATGCTTTCTGGCTTTTGTGAAGGGACTGTCCAGCATTGTCTATTGAACTCTGCAGGTGAACACAGCCAGCTTTTGAGTTCCCTGGTCTTATGTAATAAGGACAGTAACAACCACCTCCATGAGTTTGCTGTCCTCAAATATTCTGCCAGGACAGTTGTGACATCTTCTCTTCACTAACATAAATCACCATTTTCCCCAAGCTTTACATCCCAAGAGCACACTGCAACCCACTAAATCCAGATGCCCTTGTGAGGATATTCAATCCTGAGCCATGGCGGAATGTCCTTACATAAAGTCTTCTATTCTGTTGCAGTCCTCATCCCATCTTAGTGCAAACCCTCATGATCATTCCCAAACGCAAATTACTGATCCCCACTTCCACTAATCCAGTCCTCAAGCAACTCTAGTGGAGATTCTCATTTCTTCCAACACAGGAAAAGTCCGTCCCCAGCTGGGGCTTTGTGAGACTGTATCCCAATTATCTGGGTAGTATCAACAAGGTGCTGTGGGCAGTACTTATCGGGGCAGGTGTATCATCAGGCAAAGATTCCTGCATGGATGGGGGTTCAGTCAGGTCTCCAAGCAAGAGGAGGCTGGTCTCTTCTAGCAGGAAAAGCAAGTCCCTTCTGTACAGCTACCTGTTGTTCCCACCCCCTCTCTGGAAGATCTCATCCCTTCCCTCCACAGACCTTGACTGGAGCTTAGGACAGTGCCAGGGCACTGTCAGTCTTTTTAGTAAATCAGTTATTGTCCACTTAGGTGTAAAGATTGATTTTCAGCACTCTTCTCCCCAACATCAGGAGAAAGTCCCTTCAACGGCAACTATCACCCCAAGCCCTGTGTGCTCAGAATGCACTTAACAACCACCACCCCAGTAGCTGCCACTGTCCCTCGAGTAACAGCGACTGGGCTAGCCAGCACAGACCTTTCCTTGGGCACTCATGCCTGTCCACCCAGGGAAGACTTAGTAGTGTGCGGGGACAGCAGGCCTTGTGCACTCATAGCCAACATCGCTGCCGGTGGCTCTGGCCGAGCTTCCCACAAGATAGCTGTGTTGGGTTTTACTCACTTTGGCCTCACAGCCACTCATCACTCTTCCACCTGCTTTCCCAGCAGCCAACATGTGTGGACTGAATGAACAGCCTCCTTCACTCTCTGCCTTCATTCGATTTGGCAGATCGGGGCCCAGGGAGGATGGTCGGTGGGGGTGTGAGCTCCCCTCCCTCCCTCCCCACAAGGCCTGTTTGGTAATGGCTGCACCCTCCTGCCAGAGCTCTCCTCCCTGCAGTTCTCTTTGGGGTCTAATAATCATTTCCTCTTCTTGCCCCTTCTACCTGAGGCTGCCTGTTACTTTTAAACAAGTGTTTAGAGGCATTTCATGCCCCTGTTGCTTCCCTTTAACTCTGCCCACACATTAAATTCTCTACCATGCCCCACTGCCTTGTATCTGTTGGTTTTCTTCCAGGCCCTCATGGATGCTGTGGTCTTTTTTTCTAGCAAGTTCTAGAAAGCCCTTGCTGCTTCTATCTTTTTTCCCCTAAGTTTCCCGAAAAAGCAGATTTTTCTCTCACACACAAAAAATAATCCTGAAGGAAGCTCATGGGGATAGACTGAAAACACTGAGTTATTACTCCTCATCAGCACGTTTCATCACACAGAAACCCTGCTCTTGATCCTAGGTGCCTATTGCCTATCAACAGGTCTGTAATAAAGGTGGGTGGATTTGGTTCCATCCTCCCCAAATGTCCACCCCAGTGCCTCAGTCCTGGACATCAACCCCGACATCTGACTGAGAGTTTTTGTGTGACTCATTGATTCCTCACAGCAGTCAGCTGTGACACACCAGAGAAGTGAAGGCAGGTTGGGCCACCTCTGGGGTCTGACCCCAGCCATCTGTGTCCTGTACCCAAGGTGCCATGTGAGTAAAAATATCCTCCTCGTTCATTTGTGTCCTGGGATTCCAAGTAGATTGAAAACTTAAAAGACTTTGAAAGTTTTCGTGAATTCAAAAGACAGAGGACATGCTTTATTGGCATTATTATAGATTTTCTGACATATTGTGAGAGGAAAAAAGAACAAGATTAAATTTAACCCCCAAAATGTCAGAATTAAAGACACTTGGATCACACTGGCGTTTACAAAAAAAGTCAGAGAACCAGCTGCTGCAAGATTTTAGAAGGCCGAGAATGAGACAGGCTTTTCTCTGGGCCTGGAGTGCAGTTTTACCTCTACAGATGAAATTTCTGAGTTTTATAAATTACCATTTAAAATATGCGAAATGGGGAAGATTATTTGTAACTGGTCGTTGTGGAATATCTTTGGGAGCATATCCCATGAGTCTAAAAACATGAGTTTAATTTCTTAAATTTTTAAGCTTAAATGGTAGCTACTAGAATTTTTTTTTTTTCTTTTTTAATCACAGAGGAGCTTCTTTACTAAGGAGCTAATGGGAACTCAGGAATCTGGCTTTGGAAAAGAAGCACCTAAATTCAGACAACTTTTATTATTACTGTCTTTCCTTTTTCAACCAGACCTCTATTTCTTGTGTGGATAATTGCCAGATTAAAAGGAAAAGATCTTTTCTCTAAAAAGCTTGCAGTTAGATTTCATTTGTGGGGAAGAGGAAATCCTGGTTTATTCATTTCTGACCCATTGATCATATATCCAGTTGAAAATCAGTCATCAAACAGGAGAAGAGAATTTGAAGACTTTCTAGCCTGGTATCCTAGTTACAGCCATCACATTTAAACCATTGGCATGGCATAAGCCAAATAGGGAAATACAAATTGTGTTTCAAGACTCAAGGAAAAATTAGTCTATGTATGTGAGCCAGAGAAATTACTTTAGCAAAAAGCACAAATACTGTTTTGCATTTTCATTTTCAGACTAAGATAGCTCCCTCTGGGCCTTAGGTCAGAGCTGGACCGAGGGAGACAGCCTTCTCCATGGGGGTGGCAAAAATTGAATAGTCCTTGAACCCGGGGGTAGAGTTGCTCGCCCTGCCCGCCCACACAGGTGGGTCAGTGAGGTTCAGGTCACCAGCTGTTGTGCCGGCAGCACCAGCTTCAGATGGTCTCGCACTCTGTGGTGTCTGTGGAGCAGGTCCCGCAGTCACAGCGGACAGCCAGGGGGTAGGTGTAGAAGGGGTCGACCCCCGGGGCACAGTTGGGCAGCTTGACTGTCACCTGTTTGGTCTCGTTGTAGGTGCAGACTCGATGATGAGCTTCGATGAAGGGGGGTTCCAGAATGGGCTTCTGTCCCCATGGGAGAAAACAAGGAACCCATTAGAACATAGCACCCTGCTTCATTTTCTTGGTGCAACTAACTTACTCCTCTTTGGTTGGCATGCTAATCTGTCTCCTCCCAGTGGAAAGCAAAATTCTGAAAGCAGGAAGCTGGCTTTGTTCACTGAACCCCCAAAAGGGCCCATGGTATATAGCATGTTTTCAAGACTATTTATCAAGTGAACACAGTGTAGATACTAGCGAAAGCCTGTTGATGGGACTCCTCTCCTCTACCATCTCCCCCTACAATCTAGTTACAACAGAGCAGCCCCACGTGATCCTTTTAAAACTTGCCAGATCATATCCCCCCTTTGCCCAAAGCCCTGGAGATACCTCATCTTACGCAGAGTAAAAATCAAGGCTCACATGAGCCTTTTCCTTCCCGGCATCTTCTCTTTGCCCTATATCTCCGGTGACTCCCATTTCTGACTTCCTAACTGCTCCAATCCCAGAGGTCTCCTGATAGTTCCTCAACCCAACAAGATACCAGTCCCACTCCTTTGTCTTGGCCCCAAGTGCCCCACCATTCACGTGTTCTTCTCCCTTAGGACCCACCCCTTCATCAGTTAGGTTTCTGTTCAATAGCACCCCCACCCCCAGGGAATGTTTGCTAACCAGTCTACTTAAAATTGCATCCCCCACCTCCACACTCTGACATCTTACTCCTCTTCCTGCCTTTAGCCCTCCATAGTACTTGTTGACACCATATGATGTTATCTAATTTTTTGTCTTGTGTTTCTCTCACTCTAGATAGTAAGTTCCCTTAGGACAGGATCTTTGTCCATGTTACTCTCTGTTGTGTCTCATCTACCTAGAACAGTCCTGACTGCCAGGAGGTTCCAATAGCTACTGCTGAGTCAGTGAAAGAAAACAGAGCGAGTCAGCCCCCTCTTGCCCTGTCCTGACAACTTCCCTCCTTCATCCTTTATGAATCTTGACTTCAACAATAATTTTGATAAACAAAACAACACAGAACATAAAACCAGCACAAAGCAATAAAGTCTCTGATCCTGGCTGAGTAAAACATGTTTGTATATGGAACTCCCAAGATTACATGCAAAAAGTGGCAAATCAATAAATTTGAAAAAAAAAACAAGATAAAATTTCAAATCCTGAGATTTGGCCTTTGGAGCTTGAGCCCTTGTTCTTGTCCATGCAGGAGGGCTTGAAGCTTCAGTTTCCTCAGCTGTGAAAATAAACGTCTCCTTGACAGCACTGCTGTGGACATCAGCTACCGTGACACATGGACAAGACCACTCGCTAGTAAATGCCCAGTAAATGCGACCTGTTCTTCTCAGACACTCAGAGGGGTAAGGAAGCAATAACAACTTACAAAGTTTCAAAGGACATGACCTACACTTGTCCTGGGAAATGAGCTGTGTTTAATGCATGAATGTCTTGAGAGACTGCCTTTGACGAAGGCCATGTAGAGAACTGAGTTACCCCTCAGCTGCATTCTCCTACTTCGCTAGTAGCATTTTACCCTTTCTCAATCTGCTTCATGTCCTCTTACCCTTGGCAACCAGAATCCCAGGAAAGGTTGCCACCACAAAATTCAGGATGCCCAGGCCAAGTTTAATTTGCATAAACAATAAAAATAAATGTTTTATAAGTGTGTCCCACAGATATTGCCTGGGAGAAACTTAGACTACAATTTGTTTGTTTGTTTCAATTGTTGTTTATCTCACCTTTAAGGTTAACTGATATTCTGGTTTGGTTTTGTTTTATATTTTGCTAAACCTGGCAACCCTAAACCCAGGTCACGAGCAAAGGCTATTTTCAGGAAGAGTTCCATCTTCAAAGCAAATCCAGTCACTTTGTCATCACTGTCAACTTAACATGGGGAGCATTGCTGACACTCTCCTCAGTTAAGTTACCAAAAATAAGTGCTTTATATCACAGAAGCTTCCAGTCTGCTTGAAAAATAAATCTCATTCTTTTATTTTCTAGAAGTAACATCCCTTTTCTTAGCACAGCAAAAGTATAAAGAAAGTCTGGTTAAATTAAGGAGAACCTTGTTCCTTAGTGATCTTCATGGTTCCATTTCCCCAGAATGAGCACAGTTCCTGACCACCCACAGTGACCCTGACCCCATTAAAGAATAGAAGATGGACAGATTTATCAGACAAAGAGAAATTATCAGAAGAGAATATGGACTAATTAAAGGAAGACAGCAATTTGATAGTTTGAGTCAGAAAGGGCTCCAAATGGCCCCGACATAGGCTACAAGCAGGAAAGGTATCACCAGGGTGAACTCTGATATCAAGAAGGTAAAAGTGTTCCCCAAGTATATTTGCTGTCAAATAAGCCAGGGTCCCCTTAGCAAACGAACTTTCATTTGGCTATTATCTCTTAAGCTCCTGAATGATGCAAAGATAAAGCTAAGTTGATAGAGCAGTTTCTTTTAATTTGGAGTTCCATCACCATAATCCAATTCTATTTATAAGGCCATAATTTTACCTAAGTCATAGCAGGTTGCTCTCAAAGTCCCTGAACAAAAGAATGTTTTTCCTATAGGCAATGTCCTCTCAGGTTCCTTATGGAGTTCCAGGTTGGCCTTGATCAGGTTGGATTCCAGATAGACGTCAACCCCTTATCATTCAACTAGTATTTACCAAATGCCTGTTCAGACATGACACTTTGACAAGCGCTGTAAGAGGCACAAGAATGAAGCTCTGTCCTCAAAATGGAAGCTCCAGTGTGTGTGGTGATGATAAATCAGAAAGGCTTATAGAAAAGCACTCAGCACCAGAGAAAGACAAGGAGGAATAAATTTGATAATGGCAGATGGACATAAGAATAGCTGTGATGAAGAGACCAGAAGTGAGAGATTACATGAGGGAAATTTAATAAAACCTTTAAAAGTCAGCCTGACCAGACCAGCACTCAGGAAATACAGCCACTGTGAACACAGGCAAACACCACATTGCTACGCCTTGAAACCTGGCTGCTGAGCTTGAAGGAGTAGGTGGTCATAAAAGGTTTTGGGGTGGGGTGGCTGTACTTCATTAGTAAACAACTCTGGTCTCCATAGGAAGAGTGAACGGTCAGAATGACCCTCCTTTTCCTCATCCCTCAAATAACTCCCCATTTCAACCCAAGAGGGTTCTAACCTTGCTTGAGGTTTTCATTTTGAATGAACTAGTTTAAATGTGATGCCTCCAAAAAGATCTTATTATACTTGACTATCCAGGAATTCAGTAGATCTGCTACTGATAATTCCAAGGAATTATGGGGAGCAGGGACAGGTGGAGAGGGGTGCAGGGGATTCCCTGGTGAGACACAGAAGGGGTCAGGCCCTCCCTCACCAGCTGCTTTGCTTACAGCCTCTCCCTTGGAACTGTCTGGCTAATCACAAGTGGAGGAATCTAGGAAGGAGTTTGAATTACAAGCTTGAATTGAGAATTCAAAGTTGCACTGACTCTCTAGGGGACTTTGCAGCCACTCCCCCTTACATTATTCTCTGTCATCTGTAAAATGGGTGGAATAACAGCATACCTCACCCTCCCAAAGGCAATTCCCAAATACACTGACACCAAGCAAATTATTAATTCCATCAGCATTTTGTTATTGTTTTGTTAAGATTGCTTTTTACAGATTACTTTTGAGGATGCCGAATAAATGTTATTTTTTAAAAGTCTACAAAAGTGTGGACACACCATCTCTGTCTCATTGCCTTAAACAAGTAAATGCTGCAGAGTCTGGTGGCTCACTTGGGGCTTTGCCACTTGGGCCTATCTTCGGACTCACCTCCCAGGTTTCACAGCGGCCCCAGCAGGCGTCAGTGGTGATCCGAAGTCCCCTGCAGCCCGGCTTCTTGGCCAGGAAAGTAAATTCCCTCACAGCACAGCCTACAAAGGTGTGCAGATTCCCACTGGAGGTGCTGTGGACGTAACCACGGCCAGCCAGGAGCAGGAGGCCCACGGAGCCAAGGAAGAGGTATACCACCTTCATGCTGTTCCTCCACAGGGAAAGGAAGAGGTTATTAACAGATCAGCTGCCCTTCGTGCAGTAGTCAGTAATGTGTTGGTCATTATTGAAGGGACCTTGCTCTTCATATTTTCAGAGAATTGGGCCAAGAAGTTGTAAATGTTTACAAAACTACACAGATGCACAAAATTTGCTGTAACTGGCTCTGGTATGGATTCCATGGACCCACTATGTTCACTAGGCACCAAAGGACATGCCAGACTTTTCCTAACAGTGACCCAACTGCTGGACTTGACTTGTATGGTAAAGAAGTTTGTCTAATGGGCTCTTCAAAATGAACACAAAATCTGAATCACCCCCAAAAGTAAAGCATACTCCAGCATAATACATGAATGACCATAAATTAATTTTATTCAGATCCAAGAACTTGGGTGTGATGCTACATGCTTTGTTCGAATTATATTTTCAATGTCATGGAAGGGGGAAAGTAAACAATAATTGTAGGCCCTATATGTATTGTTACCAACCCAACCCACTTCAAAACAGAAACATGTAGACGATATTACGAATCCTAACCCATGACTCAATGGCCATTCATAAAAACACATCCTATTGGCTACAAACTGCTCTGTTCTATACCCCTACCGTCATAGACAACTACGGTGATTCCATTTAAATGCAAATAATGGAAAGTATGAAGAGTATTTAAACCATCATCCCAATCTACTATCAAGTCTGTCCTCTCTGGCTCTCACTCATTTTCTGTGCCTGCTCAGAAAGCAGAATCATCCTTTCCTGCATGGCCCACTAGATAGCACATACCTGGATATTGCAGTGAGGTGAACCTGTGCTGGTGGATCACCTCCGAAACGTTACTGCCTAAAGCAAGCTGAGAAGTTAATGACTTCCAAATCTGATCTCCTGGTCTCTACTACTAACTGATCATGTCAACAGGGCTCTCTAGACATCCTCTCAGATGGAATGAGATGACTACCTGGAAAACCACTTACCTGGTTTTGCTGGATCTAATTCTTCTTTTGGAGCTGAAACTTGCACCCAAGATTTCAGAAAGTCACAACGAGTGGTGGAAGTTTGCTCCAGGTAAATGTCTCTACCCTCTGTTACTGGGCTGCCTGATTGCCCAAATATATAGAAAGGTCTTGTCAATCAAAACAAAAGAGGGGCAGATCCTTACAGGAACCACTAAACACATCAAAGCCCTGGATAGAAAGCCAGCCTCTATTTTCCAAAACTGATTAGCTTCAAGGGTGTTGTTTTGTTTCTTAACATCACCTACTGGAACAGAAAGTTACCTTGGTGGGTGACATAATCCCAGGGAAACAGTCAAAGGTAGTTCACCTGGTTCTCTGGGAGAACAAATGCACTGGGGCAAGGTGGATTAAATTTTCCCTCATGGTAATCACAAGTTTCCTTTGAGACAAGTCAGTCTCTAGCAACTCATTGCAAACTCTTTCCTTTAACTCATCTGTTTCAATACATTAAAAAGTGGCAAAACAATAATTCTTCCTGGAAAGAACATGGGATCACCAATTGAAAGGATGGAATCACAGTGAGAAGGATTATTTTGAAAGTCTTAAAATTAGTTAGCTGTTAGATAATATGGATAACACATTAAAGTGAATCATACAGGAAAAGAGCACCAATACGTTCAGAGTGATTATCTTCCAGCATAGAAATAAAACATGACTTTCCATTTCTTCTATACAGTTTCCTGCATTTTTCAAATTTTCTACATTAAGCAGACTTTCATGTTAGAAAATCATTTAATATTGATGCTTTAATATAGACTGATAAATTTACATTTGTACTGCACAAAAGGTATCCATTGCTGGTCTAACAAAAGTGTTCTGTTTGATTTATGGTTCTTGAAAGTCTAAGCTAAGAATGAAAGTCTTCTTTATGAGTACAGAACATAGTTTTTATTCCAGTTGCAACAGCAGCATAGAAATAGATTAAAAAACTAGTTGTTCAATGTCATATTCTGAGTGCTCTAAAAAATAAATGAAGCAGACATCGTTGTTGCCCCTAGCAGTTTGCATATCACAGCAAATAATCACACAGAGAGATTAAGATGCACATTAAATAAATGATACTAAATAAGTCAAAACATTTCCATTTTCTGAAAAGAAAAGTATTCTTTAAATAAACATGTCACTGATTAAGGGTTTGTTTTTTCAAAGCAGATAACAACCTTCACTCCTAACTCATCAATTACCTATCTCCAGTGTCAGATTATTGTGTGTGTAGAATATTAAACTAGGTTTGGAATAAAGGATTTCGCTCAGCCTTCCAGTCTGTCCTTAACATATCCAGAACTGGGACATTGTGGAACAAACTGTCCACCTGGTATGATCGTCCTTGCCAAGAGCTACCCGGGGGGAGAGGAGCAGCCATCCCTGGAGGTCTGAAGAGTTCAGTTAACCATCCTAGATTAGACCTGAAACACAGTTGGGTCTGCAGTGTCACAATCTGAAGACAACAAAGGGAGTCCCAGAGCACCTTTTTTTTTCACACTCCCCAAACTCCTTAGAATGCAGAGCTGGGGCATCAATGCCTACACCCCATCAGCATTAACCTTTCAATAACAACAATTTATATTTAATGCAGAGTTACTAGGTACCAGGCTTCATGAAATCTGCTATGTCCTCACATATGCTATCTCTAGTCTTACAACACTTCTGTAAATCAATGGTTATTTTCTCCTTTTTATCATTTTCTCCTTTTTACTTTGGGATAATTGAGGCTCATTATTTTGTAAACTTGTTGCTGCCAAAGCACTACAGATCAGTAGGAATGGCAAGCAGGTTTGTTTCATCCCTGTAGATGAATTGGAAGAGACTAGAATACTGTGGATTGGACGTGACTAGAATAGTGTGGATTGAAAGTGACTAGAACACTGTGTTAAGAAGGCATTTTAGGACCCACCCTGGTGGTGCAATGGGTTAAAGCAGAACACTATGAAGCTGTCCACAGCCACTCCGGCCAGGGAACTGACCCGCATGGCGCAGCAGACCTCTCCTGTCCTGCCCGCTGCTCCCCTCAGCAGTGTTATTTCTGTCGATCTGCTGTTCTGCTCCCCACTTTGCCTCTGGTGAATCCTCTCACCCCCTGCACCTCTAGCCTGTAACCCAGTTCTTGTATGCATAAATAAATAAATCTTTTTTTAAAAAAGATTCTCAGTCAGAGGCAACACTGAGGGTGTCCCTCAGTTTCACCACAGGTATAGGAAAAGGAAGAGTGTGTAGATGTGGCTTTCCACAGTTCTTGCACTGGGCCATGCCGCATGCCTCTCTCTCCAGGCATAGTTAGAGAGCTGGTATCTACAGACCATCTCTGCATTGTGGTCTGTGCAGCCACCAATGTCCCTCGCACTGAAGATCCCACCATTCAAGTCACTCTCTTGAGGTGGCAAAGATGTGTGCAACATCTCCAAACACAGGCAAGAAGCTTCTCTCGCCTTGTTCCATTATCACCTTCACATGGACTCACTGTCAGCTTGGAAAAGGGGTCACAAGATACAGACTCACTAGGGCAAGAAGACAGGAGAAGGGGTATAAAGGAGCAGCCTTCCTGAGGTATGGAGAGCATGACAAGGGGGGTGAGGTGAGGATCAGTGTCCGGAAGAGGCGACTGGGCAACTACCCTTCCGGCTAGGGTGAGCGTGGGGTGCGCAGCAGGCACAGGAGATGGAGACAGCACACGAGTCTGGAAAGGCTCTCTTCCCCGGCTCGGCCATCCTAACTCAGCAGCACAACTTCCTTTGTGCTCACCTCAGACAAGCCTCCCAGCTTTGGTTTCCTCATCTGGAACATAATAGGATTGAATCCCATGACTCGTAAGTTCCTTGCTAGCACCAGATTTTTAAGACTTACAAGCTATTTTATAAACAGAACAAACTGGGCATGAGTCAGAGGTAGAACTAACTAGATATATGACAATAAGTTCGTTCAGATCTCAATTCTGACACTTGCCAGCTAGTGATCTTGGACAAGTCACTAGCAAACTGGAAAGATGCCTGCCTCGAGGGTGTGTGTGAGGATTCTACAATAGTGTCTGTAAACTGCGTATCTCAGCATCTGATATATGCTAAGCAGACAAACTTACTACTTCTCTTTCCTCCCCAGAAAAGCATCACTTTATGGTATACCATTAATTTTTAGGCACTGCCTTTTTAAAAAGATTTTTTGTTAAGATTTATTTATTTATTTATGCATACAGAACTGGGGTACAGGCCAGCGGTACAGGGGCAGTGAGAGGATTCACCAGAGACAGAGTGGGGGGCAGAACAGGCAGATTGACAAAGTACACTGCTGAGAGGAGCAGCGGGCGGGTCAGGAGAGGTCTGCCTCGCCATGTGGTCATCTACGGGGCAGGATTGAACTCATGCTGAAGTGGCTTAAGCTTCTTAGTGCTATGCTTTAACCCACTGCACCACCAGGGAGGGCCTTAAAAGATTTTTAGTGGGAAAAAAATGTTAGTCTGAGATGAAAAGAAGCCAAGTTTCTGGGCCTATGAGAAGGCACTGCATCCTGAAGCTAGAAGACAGCCGGGCATCAACTGTACTTCCCCAGCCAGCGAGGCTACCTGTTCTGATGTCAAATTAAAATGAACATTTCACTTTTAAAAAAAAGTCTAAAGGATCAGATTTAATTTTTAGGCTTGGGAAGTCCAAGTTTTACCATAGTTCCAAAATTCAATGCACCAACAAATCTTCACAAGTACTCCCTCACAGTCGCAGCCCAATGCTCAATGAACCCAACGAACCCCATGCTGAACGCTCCCCGGGTACCCACTCTGTCCCAGAGGGGCTGCTGCCTACGGCCAGGATCTCTTCAGAGCTCAAAAAAGATGCACAAGCGCTCCTGGGCTCTTCTACTGTCACACCCAGTGCTCTGGCCACACACCAAGTTAGTTAGCATTGTCAAGGAACTAAAGAAACCAAAGATGAATCTGTGTGTTATCATGCACATACATACATGTATAAAAAAGGTCACGCTGGCTTT